AGTGTCCAGTATTTGACACTCAGCAAAGATGGCAGGTTTGCCGAGTGCCCGGGATTTGACACTCGGCAAAGATGGCCGGTTTGCTGAGTGCCCGAGATTTGACATTCGGCAAAGAAAGCATGTTTGCCGAGTGTCAGATATTGGATACTCAGCAAAGAATTCAGGTTTGCCGAGTGTCAGGTCCGGGACACTCGGCAAACGGGCCGTGACCGTCTCCGTGCTGTCGCGTTACTTTTTTCGCTGAGCGTCAGTTTCAGCTCTTGACAAAGTATTTGTCGGGTGCCCGATAAAAAACACTAGGCAAAGAGACGTTTGTCGACATTGTAGATACCATGTGCTGTTTGTCGAGTGTTACACTCGGCAAATCTTTTGCCGAGTATTTTTTGGTCTTTGCCTGGCACACGGCAAAGCCACTGTTTCCGGTAGTGTGGTATCTCAAGGTTGACGAAATCTATCCCTACGAGCTCCTATAAAGAACTGAGACTTAACCGGTATCTCGAGGTTGACGAATCATATGCACATCACCTATCACTTAAAGAACAATGTTGTTTAATTCTAGAAAAATACGGGGCACTCACGCCAAGTCGAGAAGTTGAACCTGGTTAATTAGGTTCCACCACAAGAACTCAACTAGCTGGATCACACTCAATTTACAAAATAAATCATACTTTTTTGTTTTATCTTTAAGTATTCTCATGTCTAAAAATAATGGCCAGATATCCAATTGAGAACTTCCGGATGGAGGCAGCGGCAGTCGAAGAAAATAGAGAGCGCTGAAGCAGCACTAGCATCGTTCGCGTATGTCTTTCGCGTGAATACCTCCATTTTATTAATATCGATAGATTGGAAGTTAACATAATCAAGAGGACTAAAAATGAACTAATTATAAAACTAATTGTATAGATGGAGACTAATTTACGAGACGAATTTATTAAGTTTAATTAATCCATCATTATCATATATTTTTTATAGCACCATATTATCAAATCATAGACTAACTAGGCTTAATAGATTCGTCTCGCAAATTAATTCCAATCTATACAATTAGTTTTGTAATTTATCTATATTTAATACTCTAAATTAGTGTTAAACACCCAATATATCAGGGACTAAACTTTAGTTCCTGCAACCAAACAGGCCAACGCCACGATTGCCTATTCAATCCTGCATTGCCGAGAACGTTAGTGCCCGACGTTTCCAGCAAAGACGGCTAGAGCACCACCCTAGAGTTTGTTTGGCTACATATCAATCTACCACAATTTATATGAGTTAGGCAGAATTAATTTTGATAAAATCTTCTATTTAACACTGAAAAAATATGCTATTTTCTTATTTGACACTAGAAATTCCAATCTTATCTATTTGACACCAATTTATATATTTCGTGCTTGATTCGACACCATCGTCAGTTTAGGACTTTTGCTCCCGTTTAATTTTTATGCTCAAGTCTCAACTGCTATGTTCCTTTTTGCTGCCTGGTTCATTTTTTTGAGAGGTTATTATTTTTGGCAGGGACATTATTTCTTCGTAGCTGTTTCATTTCCTAGTTTTTTCATTGCTTAAATGTAAACATAGAGACAGGGACATAGAGTGGTACAAAGTGCATATTGAGTAGGGATGGAAAATGAAAATCAATATTCGAATGATTCCGTATCCACTAAAACTTATAATATGAATATTCGTATTCGTATCTATTTCTAATGCGGATACTAAATTGATGTATCTGAATTCGTTTTCAGTATTTTTCTCTATCTGATTTCAGGTTTGTATTCGACAAAAAAATGAGATATCTGATATTTATTCGTATCCGCGAAGAACAATGTATAATGAATCTATTTAAAAGTTTTCTCATCATGACTAGTGATTAATTGTTTAATTTTAATATTACTAATAGTTGAAACTATTTAATAGTATATATCTATAAATAAATTTTAGTATTAGTTTAATATTAATAATGACACATAAAGATTTATAAAAAAATATTAGAAGCATTTGTATCCTAAATAAGTTTATTATGAAAATAAATATTGATATTTTCTTGTATATATTTGGTTAAAGTTTTAAGACGTTTGACTCATCGTGAAGCGTGAATGAAATTTAGGGATGGAGCGAGTACTTCTTAGGTGGCAAACCAACAGCAGCGGACACCTCCGTTGGACACCTGTGCATATTCGATTTCATGCAGTCTCTCGTCACATATGCACCTGTGCTGCCAGGCTAGTGCATGCTTGCCTGCTTGGCACGCAAGGAACGTCAAATGCTCCTGTCCATCCGTCCAGCCAGAGAGAAGTCAAAGAAAGGCGCTCCACCAATCCGTTTCCCGTTCTTGAATTTCTCCTCTCCTCTGGGTAGTCAAGGTTGACAAGTACAACCACCACTTGGTAGTCCTGCAGCACAGCTTCTTGGAGATGAAGGCACAGGAAAATTGTTGTAAAAAAAAGCACAGGAAAACCAATCACCAACAGTCCAAATCCACTTGTTTATTGGCGGCCTCCCCATTAGGGATAGTGACGCGCAATCACATCCTGCCTCCTTTTGCTGGTCTGATAGTCCTAGAGACCTTTTTCTATCCATGGAAACCTCTAAATCCCCTGATCTTAACATTGATATCAATTTGTTTGTCACGTTGCAACTTTTAGTAGTCTCTCTGGGTAGTTGCAAATACGAAAAAAAAAAAACAGGGAAAACCAATCACCAACGGCCTGTTATTTTTTGTTGGTTTCAATTATGGCTTATCACCAACCAACAAATGTTTTCTCTCTCACAACAAAAACAAAGACCAAAAAACTGACTAAGGGGTGTCTTTGTCTAAGCTGACCCTGACTGTGTATATACAACAAACAAAGGAAGTATCATGAGTTCATGACAAAAAGAAAACAACAAGTTATTACCCGAGCCTTTAATTACTCTTCGGAAGTGAGAACAATAAATAAAGCACATATATGTTCATACAACAAGAGTACCACACGTCAGCTGAAATACCAAATAGTCCGAAACCGCAGAAGAAAGAAGCACGATTCTAGTTTGCAGCTTGCGCCTGTGTTGTGGAACTGATGCTGATGCTTCTCGCAAAACAAACCGCACCTTGCGTTGCATGCCTGTTGCCTGACCTGTATGACCAGTCTCTGTTTTTCCTCCGTCGCTATCTATCCGTGATCGATGATCGTTCCGGGTCGCTTCCGGCCTCTAATCACCCGGCGACAAGTCGAGCGCCTGCACCCTCGCACCAAAACTAATGCGCATATATAGCGCCCCCCACTAGGCCGCTGGAGAGCACTGAACCTGTTCAGTATTTGTGTACTCCACAAGCGCGCGCACAGAGATTTCAGTACGCGCTCACCAGCAAGCTGAGCTTCATGGACGCGACGGCTAGCAGAGCCGGTGATCAGAATGGCAGAGACGGGGAGGAGAAGGATGCGGCCCAGGTGAAGAAGGTGTCGCTGCTCGGCATGTTCAGGTACGCGGACCGCCTGGACGTGCTGCTGATGGTGGTGGGCGCGGTGGCGGCCGTGGGCAACGGCGTGGCGGAACCCCTCGTGACCCTCCTATTCGGCAAAGTCATCGACTCCTTCGGCGACAGCACCACGCAGAGCATCCTCCGCAGCGTCAGCAAGGTGAGTGCACCACTGCGGCTCTGTTCTGCACCGGGGAGTCACGCTCACACGTCAGCCAGAACCGCCGAAATCCTTTTTTTTTTTGGAAGACCACTGATGAACACTCGTTGTTATGTTCAAAAGACCATTGACGATCAACCAAATCTAACAGTAATTTTTCTTCAGGTTGTTCTGGATTTCGTATATTTGGGCATCGGAGCAGCTGTTGTTTCATTCCTTCGTAAGTGGAGTTTTACTCTGTTTTCGGATTCACTCAAAGCTTTGTCACTGAAACTACAAATGTGGGGAAATGAATGCTGCATGGAAAGAGTAGTCATATGAACAATAGAACAGTAAGAATTATTCATATGAAATACTCCATCTGTTCCAAATTGCAAGACGTTTTGGCTTTCTAGATACCGTACATGTTTTTTCGTATGCACCTAGATACGCACTGTATCTAGATACATAGTTAAAACAATGTAAAACCAAAACATCTTCTGAACGGAGGGAGTATATAGCATTTGTAAATGAAACTGAACTTTACAACATTCAAATATATTCATGCTTATGATATTTTCAGTCTCAAAAGGCATTCGCTGCACGTCCCTTCAACTATGTTTTTTTAGAATCTGCTTCTACACAGTTGAATTAAAAGGCTCAATTTTCGCTTGTCCCAGAGGTGTCATGTTGGACAATGGCAGGACAAAGGCAGTCAGCCCGAATCCGTTCCTTATACCTTAATGCAGTCCTGAGACAAGACATTGCATTCTTCGATACAGAGTTGACAACAGGCCAAGCAGTTTCTAGGATGTCCAGCGATACCCTTGTGATCCAGGATGCCCTTGGAGAGAAGGTATTACATGCCATCTATTTCCCCATCACATATTGCAAACAAAAATGCCCAGATCTGCAAAAGCATGAGATGCAGCAGGCAATTTTATTATGTATGTTACAATTTTAGCAAAAATGGACGAAGGACATTAGTTTTTGTTGTGTTAGCTAACAGTCTATTTTCATACTCTGCATCAAGTCTCACAAAAAAAAAGTCTCACCTTGTGCTACCAATGATTCATGAATAAATTAACTCATCATTTACAGGCAGGAAAGCTTGTACAACTCTCTTCTGCCTTTTTTGGTGGTTTTGTAATAGCATTCACAAGAGGCTGGCTCCTCACCCTTGTCATGCTAACATCACTACCACTAATTGCTATCGCCGGTGCAGTTTCTGCTCAGTTTCTAACAAAGGTTTCCAGCAAGAAACTGACATCCTACGGAGATGCTGGGGACTTAGTTGAACAGATCATCGGGGCTATACGAACAGTGAGTCCAAATTATTCCAACTACTTCAAAGTATATCAGTTACTTTCCAAGAAATTAAGTTAGTAAGTTGTCTTGTTTTAATAGGTAGTTTCCTTCAACGGAGAGAACAAAGCCATTGCAATGTACAAAAAATTCATAAAGAAAGCATACAGGACTGATATTTTGGAAGGCCTTATCAATGGTTTTGGCATGGGATCTGTCTTCTGCATCTTGTTCTCTAGCTATGGCCTAGCTTTTTGGTACGGTGGAAAGCTAATTGTTGACAAAGGCTACACTGGTGGGAAAATTATCACAGTTTTGTTCGCAGTGTTAACCGGCGCAACGTGAGTGTCTGAAACCCTAACATAACGAACATAAACAACTAGATCTGTACTTAATTCTTCACGCAAATTCTACTTTCATGATATCCTCAAGAATGCACACATACCGAGATACATTTAATTTAAGTTGATCATTGTATATTGTATAATAAGCCATGAACATTCCACAATTAAATTCTTGCAACAGTTCTTTAGGTAATGCAACACCCTCTGTTTCTGCAATTGCGGAGGGTCAATCTGCAGCATACAGATTGTTTGAAACAATTGAGAGGAAGCCAGTGATAGATTCAGGTGATACCAGTGGTGTGGTTTTAGAAGATATGAAGGGTGATGTTGAACTAAAAGATGTTCACTTTCGCTACCCTGCAAGACTTGATCAATTGATATTAGATGGATTGTCATTGCAAGTAGCCAGTGGGACCACAATGGCCATAGTTGGAGAGAGTGGAAGTGGCAAGTCAACTGTCATCAGCCTAGTTGAACGATTCTATGATCCACAGGCTGGTGAAGTTTTGATAGACGGCATTAATATCAAGAATCTAAGGCTTAGTTGGATAAGAGAAAAGATCGGTCTCGTCAGTCAAGAACCATTGCTCTTCATGACCTCCATTAAAGATAACATAATGTATGGTAAAGAAGACGCAACACTTGAAGAAATCAAGCGAGCAGCTGAACTTGCAAATGCAGCAAATTTCGTTGATAAGTTACCAAATGTATGGGAAACTTTTTTATGAATATTTGCAATAATTTCTTGACACTTTAAGTTATGGTAATAGGCAGCTAACGATGTTTTCATGACATACCAGGGATATGATACATTGGTTGGGCAACGTGGTGCACAGCTTTCTGGAGGACAAAAGCAAAGAATTGCAATTGCAAGAGCCATCCTTAAAGGTCCAAAAATACTATTGCTTGATGAAGCAACAAGTGCACTGGACACGGAATCTGAGCGGATAGTTCAAGAGGCACTGAATAGGATAATGGTGGAAAGAACCACACTCATTGTCGCTCATCGTCTGAGCACTGTAAGGAATGTTGACTGCATAACTGTCGTTCGACATGGGAAAATAGTTGAACAAGGTTTGGTTCTTGTAATTACTATTTTTCCTTTCTGAACGTCTCCTTTCTCAATTTCAGATAATTCATTTGTCTCACAAACATATTATATCTTCAGGTCCTCATGATGCACTGGTGAAGGATCCTAATGGGGCTTACTCCCAGCTTATAAGGTTACAAGAGACTCGTGCCGATGGAAGGAATAAAATAGCAGACTCTGGGGTGTCAGATTCTAGATCAAAAAGCACCAGTTTGTCACTTAGACGGTCAATCAATAAAGATTCTTTTGGTAATAGCAACAGATATTCCTTCAAGAACCCCATAGGATTGTCAGTTGAGTTGCATGAAGATCAGATCACAGGTGAACAGAAAACAGAAGAGCTCTCTGATGTTGTGGTGCTTAAGAAAGCACCAATTGGGCGTCTTTTTAAGCTTAATGTGCCAGAAGTGCCAATTCTTCTGTTAGGCTCTATAGCAGCAACAGTGCATGGAGTTATTTTCCCATTATTCGGTATATTAATGTCTGGTGTTATAAAATCGTTCTATGAACCACCAGATAAGCTCAGAAAGGATACTAGCTTTTGGGCATTGATATCTGTCGTTCTGGGAGTTGCAAGTTTGATTTCAATTCCAGCAGAATATTTTTTGTTCGCGGTTGCTGGAGGAAAGCTTATAGAGCGTATTCGTACTTTGTCATTTCAAAGCATTGTGCACCAAGAAGTTGCTTGGTTTGATAATGCCTCAAATTCCAGGTATTTTAACATTTGATTTTTATTCTTATCTTTTCTAAAGCATATATAGTCTACACCAATACTAATGTTTATCAATTGCAGTGGGGCACTTGGTACAAGGCTCTCAGTTGATGCATTAAATGTCCGGCGCTTAGCAGGAGATAACTTGGCCCTTATAGTGCAGTCTATAGCTTCATTAACAACTGGATTTGTCATAGCTTTTGCGGCAGACTGGAGGCTTGCACTGATCATCACATGTGTGATTCCTTTGGTGGGTGCACAGGGTTATGCTCAAGTGAAGTTCTTGAAGGGGTTTAGTGAAGATGCTAAGGTGATGAATGACAACTGTAGAAATAATTTTCTGTTTTATCGAGTATTATATTTCCTAATGATACTTGAGTTGCCTATCATGACAATGTGATCTTATTACGCAGGAGATGTATGAAGATGCAAGTCAAGTTGCAACAGATGCTGTGGGTAGTATCAGAACTGTAGCATCTTTCTGTGCCGAGAAAAGAGTAGTCACAACATACAATGAGAAATGTGAAGCTCTTAGGAAACAGGGAATTCGAAGTGGAATTGTTGGAGGACTTGGCTATGGCTTCTCGTTCTTAATTTTGTATTTCACGTATGGCCTTTGTTTCTATGTTGGTGCACAGTTTGTACGTCAAGGAAAAACTACATTCCCAGATGTTTTTAGGGTAAAAATTCTACTAATTTCAAGTCACCATTTGGTGCAAAAAAATATTGCTATTATCAATTATTCACACACTGATGATGTTTTCCAGGTTTTCTTTGCCTTGGTTTTGGCAGCTGTTGGGGTTTCACAGGCGAGTGCACTGGCCTCAGATGCAACCAAGGCAAGGGCTTCAGCTATTTCCATTTTCAGTATTCTGGATAGGAAGTCAAAAATTGACTCAAGCAGTGACGATGGGATGACACTGGAGAATGTCACTGGCAACATCAATTTCAACAATGTCAGTTTCAAATACCCTTCACGCCCTGATGTCCAGATATTCAGTGACTTTACCTTGCAGATTTCTTCCGGAAAGGTATAGTTGAACTTGCAACCACTCATAGTCCCCTGTTCATTTCCTTGAAGTAGTATTGCCCCAAATAATTGGATGCAATCTATCTAGTTCTAGTGACGTAATATATGCAACATTCAGGTTCTTTATTTCACACCTAACGTTACCCCAGCACTGGAACAGTTGTAATGCAATATTTTCCTTCCTTTTGCAGACAGTGGCACTTGTTGGAGAGAGTGGTAGTGGCAAGTCCACAATAATTGCTTTACTGGAGCGTTTCTATGACCCTGATTCTGGTAGAATCTCACTAGATGGTGTTGAAACTAAGAGTTTAAAAGTAAGCTGGCTAAGGGATCAAATGGGGCTAGTAGGCCAGGAGCCACTGCTTTTCAATGACACAATTCGTGCCAACATAACATATGGGAAACATGGTGATGTAACAGAGGAAGAGGTCATGGCTGTAGCCAAGGCAGCCAAGGCCCATGAGTTCATATCAAGCCTGCCTGAAGGATATGACACAGTGGTAGGCGAGAAAGGAATTCAGCTGTCTGGTGGGCAGAAACAACGGGTAGCTATTGCAAGGGCCATAATCAAGGATCCTAAGATACTACTCCTTGATGAGGCAACCAGTGCCCTTGATGCTGAATCAGAGCGCATTGTTCAAGACGCATTGGACAGAGTCATGGTCAGCCGCACCACCATTGTGGTAGCACACCGCCTTTCCACGATCAAAGGGGCTGACATGATTGCAGTCCTCAAGGAAGGCAAGGTTGTACAGAAGGGGAGGCATGAAGCACTAATGCGCATCAAGGGTGGAGCCTATGCTTCACTAGTAGAGCTCCGCTCGAAATCTGAATAGAATGATGTATCTTTATATCGTTTGTGCATTTATACAAGTACACGATTTGGTCAGAATTCAATTGTTGCAATTTTAGAAGTCGAAACGAAAATTATGTTGCTAAGTGAATAATAAACCATAAAAATATAAAAACGAGCCTCAACAATATATATTCTCTGCTGAACTCAAATGTAAAACCGCATTGCTACAGTGAGGACTGGATGCACAGGATTAAAAAGCACACTAGATCCAGGCAATGATTTACTAAACCAGAAGATCAGGATAGCACTAACCGGATGCAGGCATATATAGCTGCTATATTCGCCTACAGATCCTCCGCGCGGTCGTGCTGCCGCCGCCCTCCGCTGTCGGCGGAGCTCGCATGCAGCACCGCCGGTCATCAACAAGGCGAGAGGACCGCCAACAGCGACCTAGGTCCTGGGGTAGTCGTAATTCGTATGCTTTCCTAGTACAGTACTTCCGGCGGAGTCTCACGTCACGTGTGACCTGTGTGGCCAGGCTTTTCCATCTTGCAGCTACACACTACAGTTGCTTGCTAGGCTAGTGCTGTAGTGCATGCAAGGAACGTCAACTGCGTGCTCTGCTCCTGTCCATCCGTCCGTCCAGACAGAGAGAACATAGAAGTCAAAGAAAGGCTCCGCCAACCCGTCCCCCGTTCTTGGATTTCTCCTTGTTGTAGTCAAAGGTTGACTAGTACTACCAGTCAGGGGTCAGGGCAGCTTCTTGGAGACGAAGCAGGCACAGTGAAAACCAATCACCAACAGTCCAAATCCACATGGGCCGTGTTCGGCTGGCTGGCTGGCTGATTGTCGGCTGGCCAGCCATCTCACAAGATCATTATTCATGTCCTGTCAGAACAGTATTTTCCTCTCACAACAATTAGTCAAAACTGTATTTTTCAGTCCTGCCGAACAGGCCCATGGTTCGTGATGTCGTGTGCTGTCGTTGACGCACCATGTCTCCTATTAGCCACAGCCCACAGGCTGCAGCATCTATGCTCACCGTTTGCTAGGTTTTCGCCTATAGATCCGGTGATGCGAATCCAAAGAACTCAAGTATTCATTTGACAAATCACTCCCCCCCGTCCCTTTTCATCTGTCGATCTCACTTTTCAAGAAGTCGAGTATACTCAACTTTGACTAAATATATATAAGAAAGTATTAATATTTTTTCTACATAATTGGTATGATAGACTATTGAATCTATTTTTATAACAAACTTATTTAGAGATATAAATGTTGCTAATATTTTCTATAAATTTAGTCAAACTTAAATTTATTGGCGTCTTCCCCGTTTGGTATAGTGGCGCCATCGTATCTCGTCTCCTTTGCTGATCTGATAGTCCTAAGAGGTAAGAGCATCTTCAAGAGACTCTCCATATCTTTCTTAACGCTAGGAATAGAGATTTTGGTAAAAAAGTACCATCCAACAACTTCTCTAAATAGTCATCCAAATATAGCCGTCTTCTATTTCGGACTTTTCGCTAGCCAAATATAGAAGACGAGAATGACTCTCTAGAGTGCGCATGAGATATAGAAAAACTGTTGAAAAGTGAAAAGATATAGAAAACGATTTTTATGCAAATGACTTTTAAATGATGATTTAGAGAGTGAGATTTAGAAAGTCTCTTAGAGATGCTGTGAGAACCTTTTTTCTATCCATGGAAACCTCTCAACCTTAACAAATCAAATCCCCAGATGTTTACATTCACCTTGTTCGCTGGTTGGTGCTGTTGCTGGTTTGAGCTGGCTAGTGCTGTTTTTTTTAGAGGAAAACACGGTTGGCTGGTTAAATAAGCCTGGCTGAAACCAACAAGCGAACAGGGTGATTGATGCCAATTTGTTTATCACATTGCAACTTGTTTGCCTCCACGGGTAGTTGCAAATACGATATTTACTCACTCTATTCTAAATTATAGTTTACTTTAGTTTTATTTATCTTAAATCAAATTTGCCAAATTTTAACAAGGTTTATAGGAAAATATATATCAATATTTATAGTATCATATTAGTTTTATTAAATTTTCCATGAAATATATCTTGACGATGTATTTATTTAACTTATCTGTAAGTGTTAATATATATATATATATATATATATATATATATATATATATATATATATATGTTTCACTTTTCTCTACGTCTCGAAAAAAAACTTTTAAGTTGGGTAATATGCAGAGAGAATAATTAGGGTGGCCGCAAGTGTTGCCATGCCTAAGACAAAAACAAGGTGTGAGAACCTGTCCAAATTAATTAGCCTATGCTAAGAGTCCGTTTGATATAAAAGCTAATTGTTATTGGTTAGCTAAAACTAGTCCTAGCTTATATTAATAGGTGGACTAATTTTTTAACCAAGTATTAAACTAGTTGTTATTAGCTAACTCTAGCTAAATCGAGCTAATTTTTAGTCCTAACTAGTAACTAGCCCTACTGATCCAAATAGACCTTAAGTGCTGACCTCTCAACCAACCACCTTAAGCTAATTAACTCTGCAATCTGTAGAGATACAATCTCTGCATTCCACTAGAATGATTAAGAGGAGTGAAGGTTGCACTATATACACAAGTGATCACCATAGCTCCAGATATGGGACCGAAGGTTGCCGTAAATACACAAGATGAGATAGATACGAATAAGTTTCATTTCACGAGTAGGGCGTACCCAGTGTAGAGAGCTCCCACTCTGTACGGGGTCTGGGAAAGGGTGTCAGTGGCAAGCCTTACCCTCGCCTGTGCAATGCGAGGAGACCGCGACTCGAACCCGGAACCTTCCGGTCACAGGCGATAAGACTCTACCGCTTGCACCAGGCCTCATTTCACGAGTAGATAAATAAAATTCAGGTAAGATAAAATAGAGTGAACTAGTCTTTCTTTTCTAAGCATCCCATAGGTTCCCAAAAAATCACTCCCTCTTGTCTTTTTAGGCCAAATTACAGATGTAGACGCTCACATACACGAGCGCACACTCATCTCTATGAATATAGGCACGCACACCTTACCTCTATGCGTCTTCGAAGAACTAGGTTGGATTGGCAAATCTTGAGATCGATGAAGCCTCCAACCACACCATAGCATATACTCAAGTGGCATGATCCAAAGAACTCTGCACACAATTGCCTGTTACATTTGGTTGGTGCGGGTGCTGGTTGGTTTAATGCAGTAGTAGTCTTTTTTTTGCGAGAGAAAAACACTGTTGGCTGGTTGAATGAGCCTGGCTGAAACCAACAAGCGAATATAGTGAATAACTTATTAGCAGCACTGTGAGTATGGGAGTAATCGAGAGGCTTAAACCTATTATCTTCACCGTGAGTATGTATGGGAGTACTAGCATGGGTTATCCGCACCTATTACATAATATATGATGGATTCAGAGGGGCCGGACATTAGGTAAACATGCTTTTTAAATCTTGATATCATCCTTAAAGGTATTGAATAACAAATGACAGTATGACATATCAACCTTCATGGAGAGACGCCGTAGTCCAAATGGCGTCAAGGTGTGCGGTACAGTGATTAGATTAAGGCTCTGTTCGTTTCTCTTATAATCTGTCTTTTTTACTTATTTTTTCAGCCGGAACAGTGTTTTTCTCTCACAACAAATCAGCTAGAACAGTGTTTCGACTTGTTTTTTCAGTGAAGCGAACGGGGCCTAAGTGATTCCCGACACTTGCCTCTGTTGGTAGTGTCAGTGTGACGTGCCCAATGCCATGACTGGAAGAGACTTGGTGACTTAGAGCATACCTCAGTGGAGATACAACATGGACTAGGAGTTACATTTTTTTGCTATCATGAAAACAAAGTTTGATTGTTTCAAAAAAAAAAAAAGTCCGATTGTTTCTTGCCCTCTCTTTTATTCTTGCACTACTTTCTAGTCATATAAGCTTAGTGTTGTCCTCTTGTCTGCTTGAAAGAAACTTGCGTGACAATTAGGATTTCTTTTTATGCTAGAGCGTGCTTAGCTATAAAGTTTAATTTCACCACTATGGACCTTATTTAGCGTGCTCTTTTGCTAAGGACCATCCTCACAGAAACCAAAAAGGATATTTTCTCGTTATTGTTTCAGGCCTGCCTCGAGCGTATTTGGACAATGATTACGTGAGAGCTAACCTTCTTGAGGCGTAGGTGTGTACAGTTATACTTCCTTCGTCCCTGAATAAATTAATTTTTAAAACTATTAAGTTATTTTTTTAAATTTAACCAAGTTTATAGAAAATTATAACAATATTCAAGACACCAAATAAACAAATTATGAGATATTCCATAGTGTATCTAATGATATTAATTTGGTGCCATAAATCTTAGTGCTATTTTCTATAAATTTGGTTAAACTTAAAAATATTTGACTTACAATTTTAGGAACTGATTTATTGAACGAAGAGGATAGATGGTATATATAGCATACCTCCTACATCCTAAATAAATACATCTTACATTTTCAGGACTCAACTAATATCAAATTTGATACTTACGTTTAGAGTAATGAATTTAGTACAGTAAATCTAGCCTACTCTCTGTCCCAAAATAAATCTATATCTTATATTCTCAGAAGAAAACTAATATCAAATTTGATAATTTAATTAAATTTAAATTAGTTACTTTTTAAAATACGAAATGTGCAATTATTTTGGAAGGAATGGAGGAAGTACTATGGCTGTGTCAGGTGTGTGGTCTGTCGTGTTGTGTTGTTGTACCTTCAGATACTACTACGCTCCTGACGCCGCTGCCTCCCTCGACCCTATGCGGCCGACGCCGGCGCTCGCCGCCGGCCGACGCACGGTAGCAAGTTTCCTATCCTCCACGGAATGGATGCTTCCGTCTCCGGCCACCCGAGTCCACACCATCTCCGTCCTTCCCTCTCGTCCCGAGTTCACCTTCTCCAACCTCACGCCGCCGCTCAGTAATGGCGGCGGCAACGGGGGAGAGACTGGCAATCCTAGGTTCCAGATAGTACGGGACGACCTCCTCCACCCGCTCGCCAACGGCAACAAGGCGCGCAAGCTCGACGCCCTCCTGCCCGTCCTCCGCCACTGCGGCGCTACTGACATCGTCCGTCCATCTCGTCAGCCCTTTTCCTCATTATGCATCTAGTTTTGTGATACGTTGGTAATTCTCACTGTCCCAAACTCCCAATTGCAGGTTACATGTGGGGGTTGCCAGAGCGCCCATGCCGCAGCCATCGGTGAGCCCCATGCTTCTGTAAATTTACTCGTTGAATTCCAGTGTATCCCTGCAAATTTGTTTGCTTGAATCGCTCCTACCATTTAATATAGATTAGGTGATTTCCCCGTGCGCATTGCTGTGGGAATTAAAAAGCAGTTCAAATGATTTCTCTATGAAAGAAGAGGCTAAAACCAAGCTAATCTGTGTGGTGTATGAATGGACAAAAAGTGTATATGCCTGCACGGTGGCTGTAAGAGATGATGTTGCTTCATGAGGATTGAGCTTTAGTTAATGATTGCTACTGGACATGGTTAAATGAGGTGGAATATAAAGAAATATATGAGACGAATGGTGGCTAATTTGGGTGATGTGCCTTCATGAGGATTGAGCTTTATAGCAATTAATGATTGCTAGTGGCCTCCATCTAAAAAAAGGGGTCGTACCCAGTGCAGAGAGCTCCCGCTCTGTACGGGGTCTGGGGAAGGGTGTCAGTGGCAAGCCTTACCCTCGCCTGTGCAATGCGAGGAGACCGCGACTCGAACCCAGGACCTTCGGGTCACAAGCGGTAAGACTCTACCGCTTGCACCAGGCCCGCCTTTCGCTAGTGGCCTCCATCTGGTATAGGTATGGGTATAGGTATAGGTATAGGTATGGGTCTGGGTCTGGGTCTGGGTCTGGTACACGTGTTTAAATCCAAATTTTGTTTCCGGATGAGCTTTTTCATGTAAATGGCACTCCATGTTTTTTAGTTTTTCCTAACAATCTATTTTCTCTCTATGTATCAGCGGTTCATTGTGCCGAATGGGGAATCAGGTCACATATAGTGCTGAGAGGCGAGCAACTGGATGTTCCCACAGGGTATAATCTGATCTCATTGATGTTTGGCAATGTGACATGCCTCTCGGTCTTTGTATGCCCAAAGAGATGAGATGCTTTATGAGCATGCCATAAAGGTTGCAGGATCTAGTGGCACAGTGATGTGGGCAGATGAAGTTATAGGAAAGGATTTGGGTGTAGACACCATTGATGGAAATGGTTCAAGAAGAGTAATGATTGTTAAGGAAGGGGCAGGTAGTGTTCAAGCACTGCTTGGTAAGAAGGGATTCTTTTTGGCTAGTTTCCATTTTTCATTCATGATTACACATGATGTTTCTACTGCCAATAAAATAAAATAAATTGATAGGCTCATATTCTAGTCCATACATCTTTGACTGGTTTCACTTCATATTCAAGCTGTGTTTTCATCAGGACTGAAAATTAAATTCCGAGCATTAAGATCAGTATCATCAAGTACTTTGCACCAGAAAATATGTTGATTTCTTATGTCTGTTCTGAGATTTGTGAAAGGAAAACTTTTACTGAAGCTCGATAGAGAAAGTGATCGTGCTACTTTTCACATGATTTATTCTCTCTTCAGGTGTCATGCGGCTACTGGAGTATCTTTCTGGTTTGACATTGTTTGGAAAGGATGAGAAAGTTCATATGGTTGTAGATTCTGGAACAGGCACAACAGCTGTGGGGTTAGCTCTTGGAGCGGTATGTCTAGTGTGCGTTTGATACAAATATCTGCACATGCTGAATAAAAATAATTGTGGAAAACAAACAATCAATCGTAAATTTGAAAATACCCCATTGTGTTGCGTTGGGAATTTGAAACTGTCAGGTCTTATTTTCATCACCAAATCACCTAATGTTGTTAGTGCTATTCTCTCCATGCATCTTTGCTACCTATCACATCTCATCTAATTCTCCTACATGCAGACTCCCGTGGAGGGTTACCGGTGTTATGCTTACTGACACACTTGAAAGATATAAACAACGAGAGAGATCTCTTGTATCTGATTTTGAGAGGGTTTTCCCAGAAATCTACCATGGAATGGTGGAAGATGCTACTCATGACAATCTAGTTCAATGGGTGGAGCGCTTTTCACCTAGAAGGTATGTTTTAGTAAAGTGCATATACTGCATTTTATTACTTGGTACCCATTTTGTTCAATATGCAAAGTCACTGAAACTTCTCAGAAAACTGATAAAGAATATTTTTCGCTGCAATAAAGTTTCCCGAAGCTCCAAACTTGTATGCTTTACAGTATAAAGATTGCTTGCTATGGCATGCTTGGTAGTTCTGTAATTTGTGAATAACATTCAGGATTCAGCATATTCAGAACCAAACTCTAATGTCAGAGGATAACATTCAGGATTCAACATATTCAGAACCTTGTAATTTGTGGGTATCCATCTACTAAATTGTTTCAGTGGTATCCCGATTGTGATCAAGGATATCCATCCACCTTTTCTCTAGAGGAATAACATACAATGTAACGTATTTCAGTGACAGTATTTTTGATACTGAGACACTGGTACTAATAACTTGGACTTACTCTTGCACTGAACTATCAATACCTTTCACCTTTTCCTTCAGATTTGGCAAGGTGCTGGATGGTGAAATCGCAATGTGCCGCCAGGTAGCTCAACAGACAGGTATCCTGCTGGATCCGATGTACACCTTGGCTTCCTGGGAGCAAGCTGTTGATCTTTGCTGTGGAGACAGTGAAGACAAGGTCTTGATGATCCATACGGGTGGCACCCTTGGCCTTTTTGGATTGGCACAAAGGTATTCACCACAGTTCACCACAGGCGAACAATCTTAAGTAGGCCAACGTTGATGTGCAAATGTTACGGTTTGTGGGTATGGAATGTGATCTTTGACTTTGAATAATCAAAAGTAGAAAGAGCCGTTTTTCCCTTGCGGGGTGCGCTCCCTTTGTAAAAGGGATTGGTCTTGATATTGATTTGCGTTGAAAATGGCCTTGTGCTGTGGACCGTTGCGACTACATTTATGGTTCGTGAGTCATGACCACTACTTCCACTTTTTATGCTGATGACCCATAGCGATCGTTCTACATTGGCTCACTAGTTTGGTTCTGAACCAGGTAAAGTTGTCTGGGCCAGGCAGCTCCAGGCCACGCCGCGAACCAAACACGCTGGCACGTCGGCTTCGAGCAGTGACGCGCCCACCCTCGGTCGGCCAGTGTTTGCGTCCCTTTGCCGCTCGGCGCCCGATGTGTTCAGAAAAGAAGCATCTGGCTAGGACTTAAGGCGACAAGGCTCATCGCTTGGGAGACAAGTTGGCTAGTTATTTTGTTTTAGCTGTGAAAAGGCCGTTTATACATGTGGATTCAAAATGAAAAAAGTCTAACCCCTGACCTTTGCTGATCTGCTGTGTCTACTTCACCCCTGAACTATGAAATCATGTATCGAGCACCCTAAACTTCGCCAAACCAGACAGTTAACCCCTTTTAAGGCTTGTTTGGATGCATGTGTATGCAACTCAATCTACATGTGTTGGAGTGGAATAGAATGTAATTTAGTTTAATTTCACTCCAATCCACTTCAATACATGTGGATTGAGATGAATACATGCACATCCAAACAAGTTCTTAGTGGGTTTGGCTATTGGTTTTGCTGGCGTGGCGGTTCAAACTGGCTCACATTAACATGTTGCGCTCTGGCCCACATGTCATGCCCAACAGACCGACTAGAATAGAGGCTCCATCATGCCACATAGGAATATATCCGACTTAGAGGTAAGAGAAGGAAAAATAGTAGTTTGCAGGTAGTCAGTAGTACGTGCAGAGATATCCATAGCCTCAAGAGAGAGCAAAAGAGAAGATAAAAATATGTTGCATGCTTACTTTTTCTTTACCTACCCATGTGGTTTGCATTGTAGCATTGCTACCTCATTAGTGCTTGTTTGGATGTCCATGTATTTATCTCAATCCATGTGTTGAGGTGGGTTGGTGTGAAATTTAAACTAAATTCTACACCTAATCACCCCAACACACGTGGATTGAGATGGACATATGGACATTCAAACAAGGCTTTAGTGTTTTGGGAATACATGTCATCTTCACTCTCCTGAGGTCATTACTACTGTATGCTTGCGATGGACATGGCCTAATAGCGAAAAAACAACAGCCAAAGATCAAAAGACAGGAAGCCAGTTTTGAGTCAGAAGCCTAAAAGATGCACCTCAAATAAATCAAATAACAGGCCCTTAGCCTCTAGGTGAAGTGATGAAGCGTGAAGTTGATGCTGGTAGCAACAGTTCTTTTCTTCTTCTTCTTCTTCTTTTCTTTTCTTTTGACCAACCTACGGCAAGCAATCGCCGGGTTAATATCCGTAGAATGTGTTTACGTGCATGTTTTAGCCAATATTCAATCTGTCTGTTCCTTTTCTTGTACTTTACTCTGGAGCGGTTATTCACTAGCAGCAAAATTCTTTTAAACTGTTACAAGGTCGCATGCGCACTGCTACTATCCGGTCAGAGTTTGGACGATTATGCTCAAGTGAAGCAAATTTTAGTTGAAATGGGTGTTTTAAATTCAGGTTTAGTCATCTTAGCAGTACAGTTGATCTTTTTAGACTTGAACAGCCTTTTTTTTGCTGGGTACCCTTTCACATTAAATGTTAGTAGTTACATTTTCCTTTCAGGATGATTATCTAGACTGCTTTGGCGATCCGGATGTCATCGGCAGGGTAAGTTACTACACTTCACTATGATACCAATACCACCACAGTGCTCTGTGTTTCATTTCCTAAGCATATCATGGCAGATTGGATCTGACATTGAAGACTTCAAGCACTTCAGCGTGCTGATGAGAAGCAAAAGGACTTCTTATTCGTAACTCGTAAGGCCCATTGGCTACGTCTTCTTTATATAATCAGAACACACTACCTTAATATTTGCGTGCCATTCACAGGAAAATTACGGGAAATCAGATCCTGCTTGTGTAGCAGAAGTGAAGGCTCTGTACAAAGAATTGGGTCTTCAGGTTGCTTCGATCTCTTTTTCACCTTTGGATTTTATCTTAGCAAAAACGTTTAGCAACTTTTTCCCCTTGCATATAGAATAGCATGCTAGTATTTCTGTACTCAGCGTTTTATATACTACCGACCATGACATTCTATCACTTCACAGAGGGCTTTCGCTAAGTATGAAAGGGAGAGTTACGAAAAGTTGACTTCAGACATTGAAGCACTACCCAGTGAAACGGTACAGGCGGTGTTGAAGTCCTTTCTACACAAGATCTACAAGAGGAAGTAATATAACTCTAATACATTCCCTCGGCATGTGAAGCAGCAGGGCAGAATCATTTGGGTTCTTGCTGTGTTTGGTGAACCTTAGGTCTTGTATACAAGCCGTTGGAACGATTCTACAACCCCGACTCTGGTACTATCTCATTGGATGGAGTAGAGATCAAAAGCCTAAAAGTCACTTGGTTAAGGGACCAAATGGGTCTGGTGGGCCAAGAGCCTATTCTCTTCATTGACACAATCCGTGCCAACATAGCTTATGGGAAACATGGGGAGGTCACTGAGGAGGAGCTCATCAAGGTCGCAAAGGCAGCCAATGCACATGAGTTCCTATCAAGCCTTCCCCAGGGGTATGACACCACTGTTGGAGAGAGGGGGGTTCAGCTATCTGGTGGCCAGAAGCAGAGGGTAGCCATAGCAAGGGCCATACTAAAAGATCCTAGGATTCTACTTCTCAACGAGGCAACGAGTGCCTTGGATGCTGAGTCTGAGCGCATAGTGCAGGATGCCTTGTGGCACACCGCCTCTCGACGATCAAAAGTGCTGATATTATCGCAGTCCTCAAGGATGGTGTGATAGCGGAGAAAGGAAGACATGAGGCACGGATGAATCAGCCTATTCGGCGGGGGCTGAAACGATCGCATACGATCGTGGATTATTACTGCTGGCTGGTTTGGTGTGAGAGAAAAATACTGTTCTGGCTGAAAATTTACGATCGTTTACAACCAAGCGATCAAAGATGGATTCTATGCGTCTCTAGTTGAACTTCGTTCAGCCTCATCATAGTACCTAGGTTAAGAATTTGTTCTGATTATTAGGCATTATACATACTTATACATCTTCCTTCCAGATAACTTATGATATCAAAATGATCATCTATTTTTTTTTAGGAATAAACAAAGCTTAATAAAAAAAATTATAGCCTAGTGATCCGCGAAATACAGGGGACACCTGTTTGGTCGCTTGGAGCAGTGACTTAGGTCCGTCCTTATGATCTAGTAGTATAGATCTAAATGAAACCCTAAAAATTCATATAGCTATCCCAACAACCGAAGGATTTCCGTGATCATATAGATAGTGCCCCTTATCCAAAAGACGATCAAATCATTTACTAATAAATTCTTTTTTTCTGATCAATATTTATTAATTTTGAGCTACTTAAACAACCAGATGAAGAGAGGTCAAACATACCGTGGCCCCAACGATGTCATGCTTGGCATTGGAGGATCAGTGATGCCGTGCGAGCTAACACACCAAGCTCTGAGGAATTTTTTTAATTTTAACACTTTTTGGAAACTAATTTTAAATCTAACACGGTCGGTTTTTTTAAAAAAAACTAACACTTTTAGCCGCGCCTATTGCCCTGGCGCGGCCAAATGCCTGTGCCGCGCCATGCATGGTGGCGCGGCAGTGCTGCGCCACGGCGCATGGCGCGGCGGTACCTGGACGGTTGACCGCCTCCACCGTGCCTCGTGCTTGGAACTGCGCCACTCGCCGCGGCCACGCGTCCATCCACCTATTGCGCCCACTACCGAGGCCTGTGCCGCCAATGAACTTCGCACTGGCGACCACCCCGTCACTCCATGGCATCGAACTCTGCGCCAGCGTCGAGCTCCATGTTGACGAGCCTTTTGCAACCGGATGTTTCACGCGTTTTAGATGTATGTTTCATGTGTTTTCCCTTTCAACGGCCACCCATATTAACCACCGTAATGACTGGTCTTTAGTTCCCCCTTACACGCCTCTCACATTAATTATAGGTGAATCAATTGATCACAAGCACTCGTGGACTCGTGGTGTTGCTCCTTAACAATTTATAGGATATATACGTACGCACTCATCGTGGAAGTTCATCAGATGCTTTCAACTTCTGGCCTCCTCCTCCCTGTCTATCTTTTCAGCTCCATAGAATAGATAGAAATACAACTATAAAGCTATGATCCTGGATTCCTGGTGGATGATCTTCAGGTTGTGGGGATATATAATCTGTTCCTCAATTGTTATTCGGTGCTCATCTGTTGTGTAGTATCTTGGGACGCCAAGAAAGCTAATCATGATGGCAGTGCTGCCGCGACGCATAGAAACGAATATGAAGCAAATAAATGAAGTCCGTGCGCAAGTTCACAAGCTGCCACATAACATTTTCATTGGTTTGACATAAGTTCGACATAACATAACCAACTAAGCCTGTAAGTTTCGGACGCCAAAATTAGTTCGACCTAACAAACTAAGACCCATGAGTGTAAGGATCACTCGGACGTCTCTATCTCTTCGGATTTGTTGGCAACACATTGGGAGTGTAGCCAACGTCAGCGTGGTCGCATCGACGGTGCGTATGGCTCATACCCTACAAGTATATGATATGCACGATTACTTATAATTCTTTATGATCGTTAGTTCATGGAGCATACATATTTAAATAAACTACATTTGTTAGTACCTGTGAGGCTCCTTGGGTACCAAACGGGGCACCACCTAGCTGAGACATGCCGATCTTATCCTGCGGCCAATCGTCCCACTGGTCGTGCTATCTGCGGAAGCCCGGGGGGTCGTCGTCGTCGTCATCGTCGTCCTCGGTTGTAGGGTCATTTCCAGCGCTATGATGTGGTGGTGTACGCACCGCGGAAGTGGCACCTGTCATCGGCTAAGAAGAGCCGGCTAGTGTCCTCAAAGAGGCTGACGACGTGCCACCCGACCGCGCCGGGAGTGGCGGTTCCTCATAAGGAGTGTCCATGCAGCTCAGCTTCTGAGCTAGCTTCCTGCAGCTCTTCTTCACCTTCTGCATAAATAGACGTTAAAGTTAGTGCATTTCTCAAACGCATATACACTAAAGAAACATTTTTGGAACGGACAAGTTTATATTTACCTCCACAAAAGCCGCGAGAACGCCTGGCCCCTGCCCTCTAGACTCGTGAAGCCGAAATGCTATTTCGTTGGACAGCCTTGACAATTGTGTCGCCTAGGTACAGAAACGCGGTTGGACAGTTTTAGTACATATACTTAATACCAAAAGGATAACAAATTGTACCATTCAAGTATCTTACCACGTATCTTTGAAGCGGGGCTCTCTGTAGCTTTGTGTCCTCCCTAGTGGTAACATCGTACACATCTTCGATGACATCTTCCTCCGAGTCCTCGTCAATCGCCTCCTCAGTGTACGGGGACTTGATATGTGTCATCGTAGACCTGTGAAGCCACCACAGGTACTCGTCGAAGGTGTGCTAGTCGTGTGGAGGACCCGCATGGACCGGATGTCATACCCTGTTCTACCACAAATAGATGTGCGCGCTGTGTGTCACACGCCAATCCTTGGTCTTGTACCTCTTCCTGCGGTTATACCTGCAACAAAACGATGTTAGTTGTACCACACACACCTCTAAATTGTAGCTTTGTTATTAATCGATAACACACCCGTGCAATTCTTGGTTGGTGGAGTAAAGCGGTGGTGGGCAGCCTGTTATTCTTCCAAACTATCTGCAGATCCTGATGGGCAAGTGAATCTCGACCACATGGAAGAAAATAAGAGGGACGTCGCAGCGATACTCGTATGATTCATCCCTAGTGACAGGACTGAGATAGTACTGGAGCTCCGGAGCATCCCAAGGACACCAATGCACCTAAAATTTCATAATTGAGTTAGGTTGTGATATAGTGTACATCGAACAAGACACATGTATGATAGTAAAGAGAGCGTAACCTGGTGTTGTGTCAGGATGTTGAGACCGTCCGTGTACTCTCTGTACTTGCGTCTCGCATTCCCTCTAACTAACTCTGCTTCCGTCCAGATATACAGAGCTGTAGGGAGTATATCCTGCCCGTTCCATCGCTGCATTGAACACGATAATGAATTAGCCATTAATAATCTCATCATATGTAACTGCCTCGAAGAATATAGTGAACCGAAGTAGTTACCGGTAAACCATTATTAAGGGGCCTCCCAACAGGCCATCGTTCCCAACACCAAACCTATAGTAGGTAGGAGGAACCCCTAAGGTTCGCATATCCTGAGGTGCAACGGCAGGCAACACATAGCTATCGATACGTCCATGCCAGGACTGTGCTGCCCCAGCTGTACGCCGCTATGTTCTCCCACGGCTAGCGTAGTATGTCAAGGAAGATCCAGCTAATGGTGTTGTCCGAGACGTCTGGGAAGAGGAAGGCACCAAGAAAGTGCTAGAGCCACACTCGAGCGAACCTGTCAATCAGAGCCTCCTCAGCCTGTGGGTCCAAGTAATCAAAGCGCTCTGTGATCCAGGACGACGAAACACCAGAACTTTTTCTGAAATTGACCAAAGAAAATGAGACCCGATGGCTACAGGAAAGCAATGCAAGTATTAAATAGGCTTGAATTACTCACTTATTTTTCTTGAAAGCCTCGTCGTCCGGTGAAAGAAAGCCAGTAAACTGAGCCACCAGCTCCCTCCGGTGATCGTTGTCAATTATCCCTGTCACCAGAAGTCCCCCCAACCGAAGGCCTAAAATAGCCTTCACGTCCTGCATGGTCAAGGTCATCTTATCACAAGGTAGGTGGAACGTGTGGGTCTCAGGCCTCCACCTGTTATAAGAATAGAACGACGGTTAGTTGCCTCAAATTTGTTACAAGAAAGTTTACGTACAAAGAATGCACTCGCACCTGTCTACAGCTGCAGTAAGTAGTGCTGGGTCAAGGGGCGGAAGACCGTGGGTGACAACACGGACAAGCTCGAGGAAGCCGGCACGCCATATGTACGACGCATAACGCTCGTCCCACTGGTGCGCCCTGGTGTGCGTGTGGGGCCTTAAAGTAGGCAAGGCCACCTCTGCGAAGTTGTCACTCAAGATGTGTGCTCGGTGCTGGTCGTCGCACTCCACCTCAAGAATGGGGTACAACGAGTGCTGCGTGAGAGGGGCCATCCTGTTACAAATTGATAAATAAAGCGTTAGAGTATTCAAATTAACAAAATTCAAATTAACATTATGTAGCATTGCAAAATTTGAACTACTTGTTATGCATTATGAAAGCATATGTATATATTCAAAGTAAAATTAATAGACATATCACGCACTAGTAACATAAACAACTTCACTAGGAATATAAGCATTTGACGAAATTAACTGACATTTGTAAACTAGTATCTATACCTAAAATCTCTAACTAAATAACTAACTATAAACTAAATAATAAATACCTAATCAATCCCTAAAACCAAAATCCTAACCTCAAACCTAAAAACTACCTACGTAAATCATAAACAAATTCACTAACCTAACTATCCTAAATCACTAACTATCCTAAATCACTAACTATCATAAATTAATAACAATCATAAAATCCTAACTATCCTATATTACTAATTATATTAATCACTAATTATCCTAAAACAATAATAATCAAAATAACATGAAATCGAGAGGGAGGTACCTTAGGAGCGGGCGGCTTTGACGCGCCGGCGTTCGTGGCGCGGCCGGCGCGTCCGGCGCGGGCGCTGCGCGGCGGGAGTGGCCGGGCGTGGCCGGCGAGGGCGCGGGCGGGCGCGACGTGGGCGGGCGCGGCCACGGGCGGGCGTTGGCGGCGGGCGGGCGAGCAGGGGTGTGTGCGGGCGGGGGGAGGCTCGCTCGCGATATTTATTTGGCCCCGCGCGCGCCATGCGCCGTGGCGCGGCACTGCCGCGCCAAGATCGGTGGCATGGCAGAGCACTGCCACGTCAACGGTTGCGATTCCGATCGTCGCCACGTCAGCCCTCTACCGCGCCACCATGCATGGCGCGGCACAGGCATTTGGCCGCGCCAGGGCAATAGGCGCGGCCAAAAGTGTTAGTTAAAAAAACCGACTGTGTTAGATTTAAAATTAATTTTCAAAAAGTGTTAAAATTAAAAAAATTCCGCTCTGAGCAGCCGCCAGGTTCACCACGCGTCGCACGCGGCGGCGAGCTCCCGCCACAGTCGCTGCTCGAGATTCGCAGTAACGAAGTGAAGCGCTGCGCCAGTTGCAGCCGCCCCAAAATCGCGCGTCCAACGCAGAGGAAGTCGGCTGGTTGGTGTTGACGCGATGGTAGGCGGGCACCACCGTGTGGCTCGTTGCGCCAATCTTCCTGTCCGCTAGTCGGCGCGTAGTACAGCTCCGAGCAGCAAGGCTTGGAATTTGGGGAAGTTTGCTAATGTTGGCCCAGTTGAAATAGATGTTTGCTAGTGTGGGCGTGAAAAAAAGAATAGATGAGGAAATAACGAAACAAAATGTTTGCTAGTGTTGGCCCAGTTAAGCCAAAACATAAAATAAGAACACATCAAAACAACTTTAGTAGCCTTTTTTATATCATTCTTCATTGATAAAAATAGAGATTTTGGTGAAAAATACCTCTCAATAGCTTGTTTAATTAGATATCAAAATATTGTGATCCTCTTGTTCCAGATTTCTCGTAGCTAAAAATAGAAAACGGGGTTGGCTCTCTAAAATGCACATAAGATATACAAAAACTGTTGGAGTCTAAAAATGTATAGAGCGATTTTTATTAAATTAGTCCTCGAAATGATGATTTTGAATAAGTTTAAGAAAATCTCTTGGAGATGCTCTTAGCATAGAGATGGTGGTTGGACTAAGGGGGTGTTTGGTTCATACAGGAAAATTTTAGTCCCTGTCCCATCGGATGTTTGGACACATGCATGAAGTATTAAATATAGACGAAAAAATAACTAATTGCACAGATTGTGGCTAATTTGCGAGATGAATTTTTTAAGCCTAATTAGTCCATGATTTGACAATGTTGTGCTACAGTAAATATGTGCTAATGGCGGATTAATTAGGCTTAATAAATTCGTCTCGTAAATTAGCCTCCATCTATGTAATTAGTTTTATAATTAACTCATATTTAGTTCTCCTAAATAGCATCCGAACGTCCGATGTGACATGGACTAAAATTTAGTCCAGGAAACCAAACATCCCCTAATTTTAGGCATGTTCGGCTAAAACAAACATAAGCATAGGACCACGAGGATGGTCGGAGCATGGTAGGTGTATTTTTTTAAATCACATCTTAACTTCAGTAAGGGACCAGGATCTTCTTTACTGGAGTTTGAGGGGGCGTCCTGAAGAGATTGTTGTACGCCCTGATCAGAGGCATAGCAAGTGCAATGATGACCATGCTTTGAGTAATTACACATGAAAGTTGATTCAAGGAGAGAATGCATTCCCTTTTGGGTTGCCGTTGATGTTTGTGAACCGTGTTGAGCTGAGCTCCCGCTGAGCCCTCCGCTCCCTCCCGCCGGTGGCCACTCTGGCCCCGGCGTCCACCAAAGCCATCGCCGTCGGTCACTCCAACCACGCCGACCGCCTCCACCATGGAGCCTGGCTCCTGCTGCTCGTCGCTCGTGGGCGTATGAGGTTGAAGATGAGGAAGCCACTCTGAGCATGGGCAGATCTGCCCTCCAGCACCTCCCTCCGCTAGCCGCTAGCTGCGGCAACCCATGCCAGCTTCGTCCTCCGCGCGAGCTCCCTGGACCCCAACGCGGAGCCTTTCGTCACTTCTTCGGGGGGGGGGGGTCCGAGGAGAGGCTTCACTTCACCGACTCGGAGGCTTGAAGATGACGACGCCCCTATAGAAGGGGGGGGCAGCTCGGCGCGTGAGTTTCATGGCTGATGCTCGGCGCGATGTTGCATGGTTCCTGTCACCACCGAGAAGGCTCGCCTCTGTCGTTGTGCACCCTGTGCGCATGTCGATTGAGCTGGATGCCGACGGGTTCCGCCAGGTCCAGAGCCATCGGCGATGGCGGCGTGTCGTGGCTCCACGGCGCTCTGTACCCGCTGCGTTGGTCGGTAAATGTTTTAATTGCCTCGCCACTGATCATGTTCGGGCCGACTGTACATTCCCCTCGAGATGTTTCAACTGTGAGCGCAAGGGCCATCATGAGAGGGACTGCCCCCTGCCGCCGACGCCAGGTCATCCCGAGGGCAAGTGTGGCCACAATCCTACGTGGGCCTCTGGCCTTGGTCGGGCGCTCCACGTCGTCGTTCCTCCCCCAGCCGTGGCGCGTCACCGGCGGACACCATGTCCGCGCGCTCTGCATCCACTGGGAGGGAGCCCTCTGTCCCACCGATTTGCGAACCGCCGTCCCCGGAGCCTGCGGTCGATGAGCCTGAGGGCAGGACGTCGTTCGCTCCGTCGCAGCAGGGCTTCACGACGAACAACGACAATGCGGCTGCTGAGGAGGCGGGTGGGGATAACAACCCACTGCCCGAGTCACTGGAGCGCCAGTGTGAAGTTCCGCGCTCCCTTTTTGCGCCGGGTGTAGGAACCGCCGACGTCGCCTAGGATGCGGGCCAGGACACTGCTGCTGCAGCTCGTCGTGGTGCCTCGGACGCTGGCTCTCCAGGCGGTGGAAGATGCTTTGTCGCTTGCTCTGCTGGCCCTGGTTGTGGGCACTCGGCCGGTGATCTCTCCGGCGATGATGCTTGCCTACCTCCGCGACCACTTCGGCATTACGGATGACCGGGTCTCTGTGCGGCGGACAAGACCTGATGATTTCATCGTCCGTTTCAGCAACCAAGAGGACCTTGACCTGGTGCTGCGTACACCGTTGCCGCCGGGAGCTCCCTTCGTGCTTCGGTGGCGAAGGTGGAGCCGCCTTATCTTGGGTTTTGTAGGCGCATTCCGTTACCGTGTCCTCGTCGGTATGAAGGGTATCCCTTCCCATGCAAGATCAGCGGAGATGGCACAAGCTATCCTGGGTTCCTCCAGTGCCAAGGTCGACATTGGCAACTCCGACGCTCAGGCTGATCTAGATGATGAGCGTGAGCTCTTTTGTGGCGGACTGGTGTGCTCATCCCGACCTGGTCCCAGAGGAGATGATTATGGTGGTGCCGAAGCCAGAGGAGGAGCACGACAACGGCTCGCCATTGTACCTTAGGCCTCACGAGATCATTCATGATGAGGTCCCCGCCCTCAGATATCTCGTTCGCCTATGGATCATCGAATTTCAGGATTGGCATACCCCGCCAACGTCGTCCGATGAGGGGATGTGCGCCGACGACAGTGACGATAGCGGTGATAGTAATTACAACGGTTATCATCCTGGTTTCGCCCCCGGCAGCTGCGGTGCGTGGCCACGGACGACCAGGTTCAGCGGCAGCGATGAACCACGGTTTGGCCCTAGGTCTGGGCCGGCTTTTCGGGTGCGTCAGTCGAGGTAGGCTATTGTCGTGGATGATGTAATTTGCCCTTTCCAGGCACCGCGCGGTGCCAGTTGGTGAGAGCATCAGCGCGAAACCTACCACGCTTCTGACGCATGTCGACGCGGGCATGGTGGACGAAGTTGACTCCACCCTCTCGCCTCGTTGCTAACCCTCTCGAGTCAGGTCACCAGTCGAGGACCCAATGCTCATCGAGGCGCTTCTGTGCATGCCCTAGAAAGCTGTCAGCACACACGACTGCGCCGTGGATGCCCACTCCATCGACCTCTGTCCACGCGGCGTGCGCTCGTCGTGCTCCCATTACCACCATGGATTCATGGGGTCTGCCCTAGATTCGTAGATGGAGCTGCTATCTAGCCTCAGTGTCTTCGTTACTGATGGGCTGGCTAATGGGCCTGACTTCCTATTTGGAGCATGGGACTATGAAGCTAATGTTGTGCCCTTCTCCAACGGGCTGGCCCATGAGGTGGGCCTTTGCCTCGCTGGGCCAGACGAGTACAACTCGGGCCTTAGCTCACCTATGTGTGACTCCACGTCCCCCCTAGCCCATGACTTCCTCGATGTGCCGGACAGTGAACAAGTCGACGCGGCATCTCCCGTTGTCATCGGGGAGATCGAGTCCCGAACCCCAGAGCCACAACCGATGGCTCCTGATGAATTCATCAACATCTTCAAGAAGAATATGCCGCTGCCACTCCTCTTGGCACTGCAGCGCCCTCATGTGACGCGGGCGGAGAAGGCGCGGAAAACCCATCCTGATGACCTAGACCTGATCCCAAAAAGAAGTGCTTGGCTTGCTGCGAAGAGCAAGAGTAGGGCGCAGAAGCCAGAGGCATAGGCGCGCAAAGTGATGATGAAACGCATTGGTGTCGAGGTGGAGACGTAGCTAACTAAGGAAGCCTCATTCCAGGAGTTCCAAACGACCTTCGCGCTACCGCTTCCGTCAACAACCAGGGAAGCCATGGAGGTGCTCTTCCCGGGCAGGAAGTAGCGGGCTCGCCGGCCCCTTCGCGTCGCCTAGAAAACTAGTTTCTACGGCGTCTCTCCTACTAGGTTATCAATGTTAGGACAACAAGTTTTCATTTGGAATGTGCGTGGACTTAATTCGTGCGCGCGTCGGGATGTGGTCCATGAGTTCTTGTAGCAACAACGCGTGTCTGTAGTCTGTCTCATTGAGAGTAAGGTTGATGTACTCCTGCCCCGTATGGCCACTGATCTAATGGGAACCACCTTTGATTACTTGTGCTTGCCGGCTGTTGGTGCCTTGGGTGGCATAATCGTTGGGTGGTGTCGAAGCATGTGGTCTGTGTCTTCGCACGCCACTCGTTGTTTCTCCCTCTCCATTCAGTTGTAGTCGGTGGGGCATGGACATGGCGTCGTGGTCGCTGGCCACGGTGTATGGGCCCATGGACGAGCGTCTGAAACCGGATTTTCTGGATGAGCTACGGGCAATAAGCGCTGACTGTGTAGGTCCGCTGCTAATTTGTGGAGATTTCAACCAAATCTACCAGGCGGCGGACAAAAACAACAGCAGGCTCAACCTATGATTGATAAGACGCTTCCATCGCGCGTTGGATGACATTGGGGTTGATGAGCTGTTCCTCCATGGAAGGTTGTACACGTGGAGCAACGAGAGGAGGAGATCGACTATGGAGCGCATTGACTGAGCTTTCGCCAATCTACAGTGGCTAGAACAATTCACGAATCACCACCTCAAGTCCCTCTCCTCAGACTGCTCGGATCATGCTTCGCTGTTGCTACATCTTAACACTGAACCCTGGGCCATGCCATGCTTTCGGTTTGATGCTTTCTAGGTTAAGTTGGATGGCTTCGATGATGTAGTCCGGTAGGCATGGGACTGTGATCTGGTCAGCGTGGATGCATGTCGCGCCCTTGACTTCAAACTGAGGTGCACTGCAAAAGCCCTTAAGAGCTAGAGTATGCACAATGTTGGGAGTGTTTGTTAGATAATCTTCTGCATCCCTTGTGTGAATGCATAGTAGGTGAAGGTGGCGCCGAAAAGGGCTCCCTACAGTTGCACTATAGCAGCTGCAGGGGTAGGCGTCGAACGGCTCACCTGCCGTACTGTAACCATAGCAGGGGCAGGCACCAGAGTTGGCCCCTGCTGTCATATCTAATCACTGTAGTAGCATGACAGTTGTACTAGGACTAGATGGATAGAGTTGTATAAATAGTTTACCACTGCAACTTAGTAAAGAGAGAGTTCAGATTTGCCATCTCCTAAAACAGAGCTCCGGCCAACGCTTGTGTCTCTGCTGTGTGTGTATACTCTGTTCTTCCTCTCTTCTTCTACCTCTAGCCATAGTGTGTGGTCGGACAATGTCTGTCGTGCTCGGCCATGGTCGGCAAGACTGGTGAGTGGTCGACTCACCTGAGCCAGTGATCTTGTGGGCTAACAAGTGGTATCGGAGCCGTACAAACGCCATTGCTGGACTAACCGCTGGCAATGATGCACGGATCGAAGATGGGCGACAGCAGTGGCACTACTGTGGCTACCCAGCCACGACAGGAGGTCGTTGTTTGCATGGTGTGGGAGGTCAGTGACACCAGTTGGCTGACGCTGACTCGCACCAACTATGGAGAGTGGTCGGCGACCTTGAAGGTCAAGCTCAGAGCCCGACGGCTCTAGAATGCTGTTGACAAAGGCACCGACAATGAAGAAGATGACATGTTAGTGTTGGAAGCTATCCTCGCTGCTGTACCGGCGGAGTACAGGGAGCCATTGGGGGCGAAGAGCTCTGCTAAGGAGGCATGGGAGTCTATTGCGGCGATGCGCGTCGGTTCCAACCACGCAAAGAAGGCGACGGCCTAGCTTCTGAAGCAGGAGTATGCCAACCTCAAGTACAAGGATGGTGAATCGCTGGAGGACTTCTCCCTCTGCCTGCAGATGCTCATCAGCAAGCTGAAGAGCCACAGCGTCACCATCAATGAAGAGGAGGCGGTCTCCAAGTACCTCCACTCCGTGCTGGCAAAGGACATCCAAATCGCTCTCTCCATAGAGATGATGCTGGACTTGTCCACACTCACCATCAAAGATGTGACAGGACGTCTACGGGTGGTGGACGAGCGCCTAGAGCAGGTGAAAGCTCTAGTTTGGTTTTGGTTAATTGATGAAACCCTAAGTGCTAACCTAATTTATTAAAGTGATTATGATATAGGTAGCACTACTCCAAGTGATGAAGCAATGACGAAGATCATGACAATGGTGATGGCATGGTGATGATCGAGTGCTTGAACTTGGAAAAGAAGAAAGAGAAAAACAAAAGGCTCAAGGCAAAGGTATAAACTATAGGAGCCACTTTGGTTTAGTGCTCAAGACACTTAGCGAGTGTGATCACATTTAGGATCGATAGCCGTACTATTAAGAGGAGTGAAACTCATATTGAAATGCGGTTATCAAAGTGCCACTAGATGCTCTAACTCATTGCATATGCATTTAGGATCTAGTGGAGTGCTAACACCCTTGAAAATGTTTGTGAAAATATGCTAACACATGTGCACAAGGTGATACACTTGGTGGTTGGCACATTTGATCAGGGGTGGTGAAGTTTAGGAGCAAGGGTAAGAAACTTCACCGGCGCCCTATACAGAAAAGATGGAGGTCACTAGAAGTGACCGGACGCTGGTCGTTCAGTGACCGGACGCTGGCAGGGTCTGGTCAAGCATGACCGGACGTGTCCGGTCGGCAAAAGTCGGTTCTAGAACCTTACTGTAAACGACCAGACGCTGGGGGTTTAGCGTCCGGTCAACTTCAGCGCAGTGTCCGGTCAAGGCAATTGACCGTTGTAATCGGGACACGTGGCCAACTGCGAGCGACCGGACGCTGGGGGCTCAGCGTCCGGTCAACTGACCGGAGCGTCCGGTCAGCCCGCGTTATGCCCAGTGAAGGGATATAACGGCTCTATTTCATGGGGGCTTCTATTTAAGCCCCATGGCCGGTTCAAGCTCACTCCCTTGGCCATTTGCATTGACATAGCAACCTTGTGAGCTTAGCCAAAGCCCTCCCACTCATCTCCATCATTGATTCATCATCATTGTGAGATTGGGAGAGATTCCAAGTGCATTGCTTGAGTGATTGCATCTAGAGGCACTTGGTATTCGTGTTTTGCTGTGGATTTTGGTTGTTGCTCTTGGTGGTTGCCACCACCTAGATGGCTTGGTGCAGCGGTGGAGGATTGACACGAGTTGATGATTGTTCGTGGCCATCTCCGGTGATTGTGAGGGGAGTTGTACCTTCCCCGGCAGAGCGCCGAAAAGTAACTCTAGTAAATTGCTTGTGTTATTGAGTTACCTCACTTGTGGGTAGGTTCTTGCGGTGTCCTATCATGTGGACGAGGTTTGTGAAACACCTCTTAGCCGCCGAACCACCAAGTGTTGGTCGACACAACAGGGACTAGCGTGTTGGCAAGCACGTGAACCTTGGGAGAAAATCGGTTGTCCCTTGCCCTTTGGTATTATCCCAGTGATTGGTTTTATATGCATCTTGTGATTGGTTAATTCCTCTTCACGGCGGTATAATTATCCTACTCACTCATTCATATTCTTGCAAACTAGTTGTAGCAAGCTCTTTAGTATAATTAGAATTGAGAGCTTGCTTTGCTATTCAAGTTTATCTAGTGGAGCTCTTTAGTGTAGCAAGATTGAGAGCTCTTTGTGAGTATTATCATAGCAAGTTGTGTGTGTATTGATCATTGCAACTAGAATTATTAGATAGGTGGCTTGCAACCCTTGTAGAGCTAGAGCAAGTTTGCATTCCGCTATTTGTCATACTAATCAAATTGCTCTAGTTGATTTGTAGATTTTTAAATAGGCTATTCACCCCCCCTCTAGCCATATTAGGACCTTTCAAGTGGTATCAGAGCCGTGGTCACCGTTTGATTGAAGGCTTAACAACCTCGGTGTCAAATTATGGCTCAAGTTGTGTTCAACCATGTGGGGGGCAAACCACCGTTCTTTGATTGCACAAGCTATGATTATTGGAAGAGAAAGATGAGAATGTATCTTGGTTCAATCAATGATCAAGTATGGGAAGTGACCGAGAATGATTATGCTATCATTGATCCTGACAATCCCACTAACCAAGATAAGACCAACAAGCAATGCAATATAATGGCTCTCAACACCATATACAATGCCATTGATTCCAAGGTGTTTGAGCAAATCAAAGATTGTGAAAGAGCAAATGGGGTATGAAGGAGATTGGAGGAAACATATGAGGGCACACCGGCGGTGAAGAGTGCCAAGTTGTATATCCTCAAGGACAAATTGATAAGCTTCAAGATGAAGGATGATGAGAGCATTCCGGAGATGTTTCATCGATTGCAAGTCATTGTCAATGATTTGAAGGCATTGGGAGAAAAGATCAAGGATGATGATGTCTCTCATCGGTTCTTGATGTGCCTACCTCCAAGATTTGAGATGTTAAGATTGCTCATCATAAGAGGAGGATTGAAGGACATTACCCCCAACCAAGTACTAGGTGATGTCATGACCCAAGAGACATACCGTGTGGAAAGGGAGGGGGACGACAAGGATGACAAGAAGGATGAAGAAGACAAGAAGAAGAAAAGTGTAGCATTCAAGGCTAGTTCATCATCATCCAAGAACAAGGGCAAATCCAAGAAAGAATCAAGTGACGATGATGAGCTTAGTGATATTGATGATGAAGCTATGGCTCTCTTTGTGCGCAAGATGGGAAAATTCATGAAGAAGAAGGGCTATGGTGCAAGAAAAAGAAGAGATCACACCAAGAGAAAAGAGTATGTGAGAAGATGCTACAATTACAAGAGCCCCGATCATGTAGTAGCAAATTGTCCC